AATTATATCATCACAATATCAATTATACCTTGCAAGATCTAGTCAATAAAATCCTACACCTCTATTATTGAATTTAATACAACAACACGTCTATTTGCTAATAGCCAATGTGTAAACCTATTATATGACTAGTATTTAATCATGGGGACCATGAGGAGTCACCCAACCACCATTGAATTAAAAAGGAATTAAAATTATTAAGAAATAATTTTCAGAAAATAGAAAAACGTCCAAAATACAGTCCAAACGACCTCAAAATGCCGAAAAATATCATGTTTCATTGCTAAAGTAGTGCGTTTTTCTCACCACGTAGTTTCCGATGGACCCACCAAATTTCAGCTTAATCGGAGTCCGTCAAGTTCGCTGACCTCTGAAAATACCGGCTATTCGGTCAAAAACAGGTTTTGCGTTTTTCTAGGGTTTACCCCAAAAAATTCAGATAATCTTAATCAAATATCAATAAGAAAACAGATATCTCATGATTACAAGAATAATCCAAAAATTTTGCACAGTTAATTCACAAAACAACAGTGCAGTTTTTCAGAAAACCATATATATATGTAATTCAAAAAACGCACATAAATACAATATTCTTGTTTCACGAAAAACTTAGTTATCTAATTAGATGTGAGTGTGCTCTGATACCAATTGATGGATTATAATAAGCAGCGGAAGCAATCCCAGTATCAAAATCACATGTAATCTAGACAACTAGTATATACGGGGTTTCACGGGTTACCTCTTGAAGCGTGAACATATCTCTTCTATCACGTGAGCCTTCAGTTCCATAACTTCTCAATGGAATCTCCATCACCCGCACAATCGTGATCCTCGAACGTTCCACGGTCTTCTACTGTGTTACCCAAATAATACCCGAAAATAGCAATTTCGTGTGGGCGAAATTTCTAGGAAAACTTGGCTGAAAATTTCAGCCACCATCTACTCATACCTCTAGGTGGAAAACCTTATGTATTTATAGCACAAGTTTTAAGGGTTAAGACCCTTTTCCAAAACCTGTTGGGTTTTCTTTTCCACCAGAAAAATGATTCCTTTATTTCCTATTATTTAGGCACAGTAGGGACCACAAAATTTAATTAACAAGGCTTCAATTATGGAATTAATTTCTAATTTTCGAAATTAATATCTACCATAATTAATTACGAATTATTCCACTAAAAATCCGTAATTGCACTCCTTATCCAATTTCAAAATTCATCCATTAAATCTTATTTAACTTCCCATATTAAGATTCAGATATTAATCAAGTAAATTAAATTACTGACGATTTAATTTATTGATTATTTCCTTTAGACTTTCGTTTAGCTTATTTCATGTGTCGGATACAAAATCCACCGGCCGGGTTTACACATGAAAACTTATAAGCTTTCATAAAGGTGTATCATCAATCTCTAAATCGAGACATGGATTCCATCAACTAGCTATTACTTCACCAATGTACATTATTATTATCCAATTTACCAGACATATTGACCCACGAAAGAATCTCACATTTTAATAAATCAAAACAATAATTATATACATAGCTAATAATAATTATATCAAGATTAAGAGTATAAGTACATTTAATGGCTAGAAAATTTATTTTATTAAATCAGTATAAAATACTTATCTCTACCTGGTCCGTTCAATACATACAAAATGTATTAGCACAAGAAGTTGGAATTAAACCATTCCTATAATCAAGATAAAATATATTTAATCTTATGCTACAATCATTCCTGATGGTTTGTCCAATTCCATCATTAGATTGTGAACTCAAACTTTATACTTATAAGAACCGATGATTTAATTTTCCGTATATAAGCTAAACTCTATACACTAAATCATCTACTATATAAGCAAATGACACGGACTAATATATGATCTATTTAAAACTTTATTAAAACTGAATAAATAATTATTTCATAATAAATACTATATTTAAATCAAACTCATGGTTAATAGTATATATCACAACAGATACCGTATTTGAAACGCCTGATTCATCGCCTTTACGTCTCGAAACAATTCATTCTTCTGGGAAAGACGACAATGGTAGTGGCCAATCATCATTATCTAGTCCCTCTTCAGTCCCATTAACTCCAATGAAGAAACTTCCAGCTGTGGCATGTTCAGTTTCACTAAGAGATGCTAGCTAGTCACTCGGCACTTCTGGAAGTTCCAACAGTAACAACACTTCGTTATCTTCAGGATCTCCTTGCACTTCTCCTTCATGGTGAATTTCAAAAACTAGTTTAGGTAGTTCATGTTATAGAATGCGGTCATTCATTAGCCCTTTGTTCTAATGTTATTTTGCTGTCTTGTGAGCTGCACTAGTGTGTGGTTAATTAGTTTTGCGTAGTATTAGTCGTCAATATTTAAAAGGGATGCAGAGTGCTGATAACGACTAATATTAGACTCATTGGAAACATACAAAGTTTGAGGCGTGTTAATGGGGGCGCTTAAACCAAGTTCATGCCTAACTGTTCCTTTCTGCTTTCTTTCTAATAAAGAAAGAATGAATTTTCTTGTTTTTAGATAAGCCTGCTTGTGCATTGTCAAAGTCCCTCTTTTTCTGAGCGAAGGAAACAAGTATCTCTTTTTTCCTTTTTCTTAATGCATTTGGGGTGTTGGTATTGAAAAGGTGATGTGAAGAGGTGGCGGACCAAAAGAAGAGGCAACAGATATCTCCGTTTTTCATGAGAAGGGACCTCTTTGTGCTGATTTCGACGAAGTTGGGACAAGAAAACTAAAGCTTAAGAGAGGAACCTTGTGGGGTCTGTTGTCCTGTTAGAAAAGGACGACTCCTGTTGGTTTCGATGCATTGCTTGAAACCCTATGAAATAAAGAAGCTTCATTATCTGACATGAACTGATACTTTTGTTTGAGCTGCTACTGTTTTCTTATTCCCTTGTTTCAATTTGTGTATTGGACACGGAGCTTAAAAAAAGATAAAAAGAAGACATTTGATTTGTAGTGTAAAATTAGTCATATATATTTTGTATGGTATAAACTATTGCATAAAGATAATTTTTTTTAAATATGGAAATGGATCGTTCTTTTTAGTACGAACTAAAAAGAAAATAGGTTCTCATAAATTGAAATGGAGGGATTATTATTTATAAGAATTACGGTTCACATTGTTAGGATTTTGTCCTCAATTTCTAATCTATTAGGACTTTCTTTCTTGAAGGAAGGGAAAAAGATTCCTAAAAGGAATAAATTTCCTTCATATACATTATCCTTTTCTTGGAGGAGAAGTTTTGTACTTCTATAAATCGATGTTTTCTTCTCACAACAAGAACAACAACAATAACATCCACAATGTAGTTCTTACGAGAATCGTATTTAGGGGAGATTATTCTCTCAAAAATTCTGTTCTCTTTTTATAATAGTGATAGATCATATGTAAGTCGATTGACCAAACTATAATAAATTATTATGCCTAATTTAGTATATTTTTCTTTTATGCTCTGATTTATCGTCCATCAAGTTTTTCATTGTTAGCTTCCGCATGCAAATTATTATTTTGATCCCAACAAGTGGTATCAGAGCCAAAGGTTCGAAGCAAGATTGAAGACAGATTCAGGAGGGTTCAAATGAAGCCGCAACTAATTTGACGATAATGAAGGTTTATCCAAAAAGTTTGGACGTGATGCTACATGTGGAGATAAATTATAATCATAAATATTCAAAACTCATGTTGCGGCTTGTTTTATGGAAATAAAAACTCTTTTTTAACTCATATTTGGGCTCCTTTTAACCCACGCCTACTTGCAACGCATGAACTCCTTTTAATCAATGTCAGTTTAAACTAGTGATGACAAAATGGTTAAAAGAAAACAGTTATCCACCCATATCATCCATTACAAAATGGGTTGGATAATGAACTTTTTAAAAACTAGTCCAATATGGATAAGAACCATATTATCCACTTAGAAAAAATATAAGTAATAAGTAACCAATAAATAATTAATAGGTTTAACTTTTACATTTGTAAAACCTCAATTGGGGGTTCCTCAAGTTTAGGAGACAAAGAATTTTTTCAAAAGTGATCATATTCAAGAAGCTATGGATAATTTGGATATCCATATTACTCGCCGGTTAACCCATTTTTTATCTATATGAAATATGGTGGGGTAGGATAATTTATAGATTTTTTCATCACCCGCTTGCGATCCGTCCTTATCCGCCCCACCCGCTCATTTGCCACCCCTAGTTTAAAGCCATAACTATTCTTAATGTGTGGGCTCCTTTTAACCCCTTATTGGTTTTCTTTCAACCAATACCAAGATTTTTCAACTTGTACTTATATTTAATCATGCCATGTAGCAGTAATGAAGATTATATGAAGAAAGTGGATCAAGTTTTATCAAGAAAATTAAGGGAAAGGGGAGAATTATTAGGATTTTGTCCTGAATTCCGAATCTATTAGGACTCTCTTTCTTGACAAGAAAAAGATTCCTAAAAGAAATAAATTTCTTTCATGTACCTTATCCTTTTCTTGGAGAAGAAATTTTGTACTTCTATCAATCATCGTTTTCTTCTGATCACAACAAGAACAACAACAATAACATCTATAATGTAACTCTTATGAGAATCATGTTTAGGGAAGAATATTCTCTATTTACATTAGTGATAGATTGACCAAACCATATGTAGGTCGATTGACACATTTTGGCATAAAACATGGTAGACTTTGTTTTTAGGGTAGAGGGTGAATCAAATTTCTTTCAATTAACATGTTCGAACTATGAGCTACAAAACTATTTTTCCAACTTATATTTACCTTAACATAACTAGGAATATGTGTTCCTAAAAGCCGGACAAATATTCACTTGAATAATTTCAGTTTGACTCGACATAATCATCCAAATGCCATGTTCACATGAATTTAACTAGTACATTATATTAACAGCGCAAATAAGGTTCACATATGATTAAAGATATCCGATACAAGAGTAGTAAAATAATAACCTTAGTAGTATACACAAAGACCATAATCATTACTTTGCAGGAATTATATATCATGTATCTCCTGTAGGATAAAGCACCGATCAACAATGATGCATCACATCTTTCTGATTTTTATATGATGCAAAAGGACAAGGAATCGTATGAACACTGCACATTCAGTACAGAATTACCATCCCATGACCATTGCAAAATAAACATAGTACGTATAAGAACTCACTGTAATGTAATCTCATGCAGAGCAACAGAATAGTCTCCTCTCTCCTTCCCCTGTTGTGCTGCCTAGTTTCATTCCACCTAGGCGAGCTGGGGCAGCACTAGCTAATCTCTTTGCTGCATAATGCATTTGTTTTGGCTTGAAATTTTTAAAATCCTATCAAAGCGAACTCATCAGGAAAGTGATCATGTTTAACAATTACCTATTACATGGAAGAGCTCGTTTATATTCTGAGCAGTTTTTGCTGACGTTTCAAAGAATAGCAAGCCATTCTCTTTAGCATATTGGTCTCCTTCCTGCGTAATAATATCAGTTGGAGATGGTATGGATACTTCATCTTCCTTCATTTCTTATGCAATATCACTAATGTACTAATTGAAATACCTCATTGTCCACCATTCTTTCTGAATCCAAGTCAGCCTTATTGGCCACTAAAACAGTCACCAAATTTGGATTTCCTAGTACCACAAACACAGCATTAGACTGCTCCTACAAGTCTCAAAAATACAACAGATATGACGACAATTTGGATTTTTCATTTTCGAATCCCTTCGCTGGAAAATTATACTATATATACTAGGTTAAAATTATATATATATATATATATATATATATATATATATATATATATATATGTATATACACACACACAAACGAGTCTTAGAGTTTCATATCAATGAATACAAATTTTATGAAAATTACATAGATGATATTCACAAAGGTGCCTAAATTATCAAAAAGAAAATTAAAAAAAATTCAAATTATTGAAAAATAATCATGAATGTAATCACATTTATCTAACTCAATAAAAGAAGATCTCTACTCTACAAATACCTTATTATTTGTACTTTCTTTAGGGATAGATAGATTTAGGTTCTCACGCCATCCTTCTAGGTAGATTCGATCATTATCACGATAAAGAGATTATACATGCTAAAATATTTTGTTTCTTCCTTTAGCTCAATAATGATGGGTTAATATCAGTTAGCCATGTATCCCTAACTTGATATTTACATGCAATATCTATCCGCTAGATAGATTTATCAATCCTACAAGGAATTACAAAACTCTACGACAACACTTTATGGAAATGTTTTATTAACATTTTTTAAACAAAAATAGCTTAAAATAGCTAACATTTCAAACATATATCCAAACTCGTCGAAAATTAAGAACCTCGACCCTAGTATTTCGAATTTTGCCACATAAAGTAGAGTAGAGGGACTTTTTGTTCATTTTCCACATCGGAACTTTCATCTTCGTTTCTTTAGATTCAAAACGTAAGCCAGTCAAATTGTACCAATTTTGCTTACCTTGTCTTTGGAGCTGTTGCACCCACTTTTTAGCTCTTTCAAATGAATCCTGAACCCAATAGATTCATTTATAAATCATTTTATTAATAGTAAAACGAGAATTTAAAGTTTTTATTAATAGTAAAACGAGAATTTAACGTTAAGTTATTTTTAAAATAAAAAATGTATAAAAATATGGTAACAGGAAAGCAGATAGATCCGGGGTACCTTGCTAGTGATATCATAGACTACAACAGCAGCTGCTGCACCACGGTAGTACATGGGAGCTAAACTGTGGTACCGCTCTTGTCCTGCAGTGTCCCATATGTCAAACTTGATGGTTGCTTCATTTAGAGAAAGTAGCTGAGTAAAGAAGGCTGCTCCAATTGTTGGCTCCTACAAGTTTCAATCATGTGATAAAAAGAAAGATATTCACGGAAACTAATTCAGAATTGGTTATGCATGCATTTGACCAAACCTGGAAGTCAAAGAATTGTCCTTTGACAAATCTTAACACTAAACTGGTTTTTCCAGTGCCNGCGAATTTTTTCTAGCCATGCTTAATGTTATAAAACATAGAAAGTGTAAGAAGTAAAAACTCATGAAAGGGACAAACACCGAATAACGTTATAAATAAGCGAATTAATCTAAAAAGAGTTAACAAAGGGAAGAACATACCTACCAGCTTGGCTTGTATATTTTTGTTCCTCCTCGTTGCCATACAATAAAACCCCAGAAAATAGAAAAGCAAAGTATGAACCTGCAGCAAGAACGAGAGAGAGAGACACGCAGACGAAAGATTTGTGTTTTCTTAAAGTTGGTTGACGAGAAAGGATTTCAAGGTTTATGAGGTAACGTACGTCGTGGAATGTTAGGTTTAGCAAAATATATGATTGTGAATATTGACTGTTAGGTTGTGCTCCTTCCTGTCATCAAGAGAAGATAAATAGATACTGAGAAGAAACTTACATACCTTCAGCATTACAACTTTTCGAGAAGGTAGTTCAATCGAATTTGAACTTCTTCTTAAAGTTAGTCTAACCAATATTAATTTGCTTCATGATTGAATCCAGAAATAATCTTCGTAGATATTCCTACCCTTTAATCTCTTGAATTCAAACTTCTCTACCTATCTACCAATTTGTTGGAAAAAGTATTATTCCCTCCGTCCCAATTTATGTGATATTTTTACTTATCGAAAGTCAATTTGACTAGTCTTTGAAGCTAAATTGGATTAAATAAAAATTTCGATATTCAAAAACTATACAAAAGTACTATAATTTACAATCCTTACTATATAAATATGATGAAAAATACCTTTTAAAATGTTTATCAATGTTCATATAGTTTTGTTTACCTCGAAAATACGAGTAACAATTAAACTTGTTTATGGTTTTAAAGATATGTGATTTAGTTCAATACTAATTAATAATCAAGAAATTAACGTAAAAATGAAGGAAATAAGTAAGATCAAACCAGTGTGCAAGCCAGTCTCGACCTTGAGCTAAGGTGGCATCGAGGTTGGTCAAGAACAATAAAGTAAGAACAATAATGTTAAAGGACAATTCTGATGAAATATGAGCAAGAAAGTAAAAGAGTATATTTTTTGCCAATGATTGATAATGTTTACAAATGATTGGGGTCCCCTTTATATAATAAGGGAACCCTAAATAAGGTACATTTCTATTTATAGTAAGGAATTCTATTGGGACAATTGTCTAACCTCCTAATACGGATTAGTACTAATTCGTACAAATCTATTCCGGAACTTACGCCACGATCTTGGGGACATGGCGAGAATCTTTCTCTTTCTGTTACAAAGACACAACGGCATTATCTCGGGTCGGTCACGTTCAGCCTCGACATTCATCGGTCACTTTGATCTTCGAACTTCGAACTCTGCCATCGGGCTCGAACCCAGTGTACTTCGGACTTATTCTTGAAGTGGTTCCTCGAGCCCACTAAATCAAGCATACTTGATTTTGACCGTATACAGATAGTCCCCGCGTTTCTTAGAATAAGATGATAAGAAACAACTTGAGCCTCGGTTTTCTGGAGTCCTCGATGACGACATCATCCCCGTGACGTAAGCGCTCGAGGTGACCGAAACGTCCTGTTGGTTCGCTTCCCCAAAATATTAAATGCGTGCCAGTAAATGTCGGCCACTAGCGCCACCAAACCATCACCGCTTATCTATAAATACGAGGCTCCTTTTTTTGAATTAAGAACCTTACTTTTTCCTTACAATCTCTCTGATCCCTTCTTCTCTTCGTCTCTTCCTCTCATCACCTGCTTCCACCGTCCTTTTAGTACCAAAAAATGACAAGCTCCACCATCTTCCGCATCTCTTAACTTAAAACCATGGCAAAACCTCTAAAACAGTTCTTCAAAAAGAAAAGGCTTCTTTCTCTTCCTCCCGTCCGACCAGCGACAAAGTGCCGACCCTTCACGAGATCGTTCCTGTCGCCTGCGTCATAAAGACCGATTTCGACATAGAAAACCCCCTGCATTTCCCGACCGATGTGAGTATGCATCGAGGTATATATATTCGATAATGGAGAAACACCTCGAGGTTGTGAGAAAGAATTGTGGTTGGGGGGATGAGGTCATGGTACAGATTCCGACCCCCGAGGAGAGCATCACTACTCACATGGAGGGGTTCTTAAGTGTTTACACTTTCCCCTTCACACTGGGTCCCCTTGATCCAGTAGTGATTGACTTCTGTAAAAGATATGAAGTTACCCTCGGCCAGATCCATCCCTCTTTCAGGCGTATCATGATTATGCTGCGCTATTTCTCTAGCAAGGATGAGGGATTAGAGTTTACCCTCATCCACCTCATTTGGCTGTATCGGCCTCAGCTTTTTCAAGGGTTGATCAAGCTACAACGTCGATCAAGTAAAGCCTTCTTTGCTAGTAATGATGATGCTAAAGACCGAGGCTGGATGAGCTGGTTCAGCCGAGTGAGGACCTCGGACATCATCCCCGAGGAAAAAATGTCGTTCCCAGAAGAATGGAACCCCAATCGTAAGTGAAATCCCTTTCCCGGTATCCTTTTGTCTTCGTATTGTGTGATGCCTTTACCTTTTTTGTAGCTGTTGCTTGGATGCCTCATGCGATCCCCGACCTCAAAGACTAGGTCCAAAAGTTAGCCGTGACCTCCTCGTATGACGAGCACAAATAGTGTGACTTGTTGAAGGGCAAATGGGAAGCCAAACACCATGGTGAGTTTTTCTTTGTAAGCCTTTTAACGGCTTCCCTTCTTTACCGAAGTCATTTGTTTCCTCATACTCAATTTTTTATTTATGCAGGCCTCAGAGATTTTTTCGAGATAAGGCCGGCCCCTTTTGGGAAAGAGATTGAGTCCCCAAAGACCCTCAGGACAAAAAGGCTCCTCCTCGAAGACGCAAGAGGAATTTCCTTCATGTCGACATAGACTCAGCCCACTAGTTTTTGGATGATGAAGGAAACAAGGGATAGGAATTGATTCTAGTGACCCGAACTAGGAAACAAGTTAAGGCCGTCAAACCCTCTGAACTGGAGACCTTGTCTCGTGGTGAGGAAACTCTGAAGAACGACTCGGACAATGCCTCTCTGTCCCCTCAGATCGAGATTATTCCCACGTCTTTGACAAGTACACCGGAGGTGGTAGGTACTAAGAATCCCGAGGCTAATTAGGGCGCCCTGAGCGACGAGCTCGGGGCCATGACAATAGGCCACTCCTCTCCTCTGCCATCTTATTCCGAGGAGGCAATAAAGGACGCTCAAGCTCTGTGAACGCCCGACCCGAGCAAGGTCCTCGAAGAAGATCCTTTTCAGGATTATTTTACTGGGTCAATGATTTCGCCGACCTCAATGACTCATCTACCCTCTTTGAAGAGGCTCATAATCTCTTCTCCTAGGTCAGCACTAACACTTATTGTTGAAAAAGTTTTCTATTTTCTTTTCCTTCCGCGTTAACTGATATCTCTTTTTTCTTGTGTAGGCCATTACTAAGTTTAGAGCCGAGCTGAGCCAATATGAGGCCAAGCTTAAGAAGTCTTCGGATGAAGAGAAGGCGCTGAGGCTCCTTTGTAGCCAAAAAGAGGAGGAGCTCAATGACCTTCGGGCAGATTTGGCCAAAGCTCATAAAAACGAGGCCAAGATAGACAAGCAGGTAATTGTGATTTTGAAAGAGTATGGTCTACTTGACCTTACTGTGGAGTTTAACACTTCAATGTCTTAACTGCAGCAAAAATTGGAGATGATCGGGCAGCTTCGGGGCGAGGTCGATCAGGTTAAAGCCGACTGCAACTGATGGGTGGAAAATATGGATCGACTTGCTACTGATAAAGAGGATGCTCTAGCCCAACTGGTCTCAGCTGAAGCCCAACTCCGAGGTGCTAAAGTGAAAAATCTGGCCCAAGCCAAGAAGATCTAGGAGCTCGAGGCCAAACTCGCTGAAGCCGGGGTTGAGGTTGATGAGGCTAAGGCCGAAGTTAAGAAGACGAAGGCCACGACTAATAAAACCATCGCCGTGTACTTAAGGGATGCCAAGGCTATTCAAGCAAAGCTAAGGGAGGCCTTTGACCAGGAAAAATAGAGTAATGATTTGGCCAAGTGCCAATCCCAGAGGGAGACCCTCGAAGAGATCCATGCCCGAGGTTTCGATCTCACTAAGGAGATAGCCCAAGCAAGGGCGCTGGAAACCGATGCCAGGTTTCTCGTTTCTTCCGATGATGAAGATTCTGTTAGTGGCTCTGAGGGCGAGGGATATGAGGATGGAGTCCCTGAGGAGGAGGTTCCCGAGGATGCAGCTCCTAAAGTAGATTAGGCTCTTAGGATTTTTTAAATTTCTTTGTTTTTGTGTAAGGCCCCTCGTGGGTATTGTAAATACCCTTCATAAATATAAGGAATTCCCTTTGCTTTATCTCCAATTTGTATTGAATTCTGCTTTGTCTTCATTTTGTGAATTTTTTGATGTTATAATTGGCTCGGACTCAAAATAGAACAAACCCTTAGGGGTTTTAGTGATCAATGGGTGATCTTTGAAATTATAATAAGATTTTTGTTAATCCTCGAGCTATGCTTAAGTCGATTTGATGTGAGCTCGGGGTGATGTGACTCTTGAGTCCGAGTTGAGTGAGAGCAAGGTCTCGAAATCTATATGCTTTGGCCATTAGGCTATTTTATATTGGACCTTAGGCTCTTTTAGGTTGGCCCTTAGACTTTTTAAGTTGGGCCAATTCGGCCTCTAAGACGGCTACATATTTTCCCTCTTTTCGGCTAAAAGACTTAGTGAAATTTTTTTTATGCCTTAGCATATGTTTTTTGTACCCATTGGGTTTATCGAGGGTTCAATCAATCAGAACCCGTTCGTGTTAATACCTCTTGAGGCTTTTTTGAAGGCGATGTTATCAAAGCCTTTTAATTATTCTAGGGCTGATTATCGAAGCCCTTTTTATTTGCTTTTGCCAAGGGTAGCCTTATTTAACTAGTTTTTCAAAGTGTTTGAAGGCCTTTAATTTATGGCGGAAGTCGGACGTCTCCGAGCCGCATTATTTCGGCCGTAGCGTATATATGACCGTAATCTTTAATATGGCTGTAGCCTTTAATATGGACATAGTCTTCAGGTGTGTCTCTTAGACTTGTTTCCCAATAACCTTTCTAACTTGTCCAAAAGGTTAGTCCCCCAGTATGATAGACTTGGCCTTTGCGTCGAGGGATTCCTCTTTGAGGTCTTATAAATTCGAGTTTAGATACTCGAATGTGTTGACTGTCGATGACAGTCCCTGAGTATTCGAGGTGTATTTGTATTTTGTCTCTTGAGCCATTTCTCGTGAAATCACAAGTACGATGTTTGTATAGTAGCAAGTTTCTTTGAGACAAAAATTGTTTTGATATAGAAAGAATGCTTCTTTGGGTAATTGATACATGCGTACATGTTTTGCCATCGGGGCTCGGCTATTCTATATGGACATGGTTCATATAACCGTTTGGCCCATTACAAAGTTTTCCTATCGAGGCCCACTTTGGCATGAAGTATTTTCCTTGAAAACATAACCCCCGAGGGTGATGCTCCCCCAGTATTGAGGTTGATTGAAAAGAAGCCTCAGATGCTGTTGAGTTCTCCTTAGGTAGCACATAGTTGTTGGCTCGTTAAAAACCTCGCCGGAAAAATCTATTTGGGATAAAACCCGATCTAAGGGAAAAAGAATGCAATGCATGCTTTTAAACCTAAGGTCTTCATGTAGAAAGGTGCCTTCGACGTCTTCGATCGGACACCTGCAATGAGTTAGTTTTAAATTCAAGTGGAAAAGGAGAAGGTCATACCTTAGCAGTAATATCGTTTGAGTAGTGATACATTCCAATTATTCGGCAATTGTTCTCCTTCCATCGTGCCGAGTTTGTAGGATCCTTTACCGACAAATCCGATGACTCAGTGCGGTCCTTCCCAGTTCGGGCCTAGTTTTCCTTCATTCAGGTCTCGAGTATTGGGGGTTACTTTCTGTAGAACTAAGTCCCCTTTTCCGAAGTATCGAAGGTTAGTCCTTCTATTATAATATCTCTAGATTCTTTGCTTTTGCGCGGCCATCCGAACAAGTGCAACTTCTCGTTTTTCATCCAATAGCTCGAGACTAGTATTCATAGCCCCGTAGTTTGATTCCTCCGATGCATGTGGAAATCTGGCATTGGAATCAAGGCATCAAAGCCATATACCAAGGAGAATGAGGTTTCCCCCATGCTGGACTTCGATGTCGTTCGATATGCCCAAAGAATCTCGGATAGAACTTCTCTCCACTTTCCTTTTGCATCGTCCGACCTCTTTTTAAGTTTTGAATGAAAGTTTTATTTGTTGACTCGGCCTGTCCGTTCCCGGTCGGATGATATGGCATTGATAAAATCCTTTTTATTTTGTGTTCTACGAGGAACTCTGTTACCTTACTGCCGATGAATTGCTTGCCATTATCGCATACGATTTCGGTAGGTATCCTGAATCGACACACGATGTGGTCCCAAATGAAGTCAATAACTTCTTTTTCTCTGACCTTTTCGAAGGCCTGTGCTTCCACCCATTTAGAGAAGTAGTCAGTCATAAAAAAATGAATTTAGCTTTACATGGGGCCATTGGTAGAGGGCCGGCGATATTCATTCCCCATTTCATGAAAGGCCATGGGGACATGACCGAGTGAAGTTGCTCTCCGGGCTGATGATTCATTGGTGCAAATCTTTGACATTTATCACATTTTTTAACATACTCCTTAGTGTCTTTTTCCATGCTATCCCAGTAATACCCTGCTCTAATAACTTTACGAATCAAAGATTCGGCACCGGAGTGATTCGCGCAAGCGCCTTCATTGATTTATCGAAGAACATAATTGGGGTCTTCCTACCACGACCCAAACCAATGGACAACGATGGGTGCCAAGTCCTATCTATCGAACACCCTTAAAACATGCATCTAAGATATAAACCTGAATGATGTCTGCTGAATTTCGAAAATAACATTCATAAAGGAAACCTGCCAAAAA